CACTTACTGGGTCACACACATGTAAGCCACGTTGTCAATGTCACCATCAGAACTCACCAAGTTACCAAATTCAATTGTTCCATATTATATTGAGAGCTTCACAGCTTTCCATGTGGGTCATGTTGCAGTGGCTCCTTTGTAAGAACTTTTTCACTGCTACATGTTACAGTCCTTCCATCCATTTTCAATAACCTCTAGTCCAATACAGACCTGGAGTCTAACCTGCAACACAATGGGATCCTCTAAGATATAGTAAATTATGTTCTGACCCCATATTTACAAGTAATGATCTCTGTTAATAACTCGCACCCCTAGAAAACACTATTTTTCACAATGATAAATCCCTCACTGGTAAATTCCCCTTTCTCTGCTTTACTTTGGGAATAACAGTAGGCTTAACTTTTTCTAGCTCCCGTCTTTAATGAGGATGATCTTCTCTGATACCAGGACTTGTAGTCTTAGCAGATCCACCTGACTCTTCGTGATTTGTTTACTGGTATCTTCGACCTGCAATGCATGACTACAGCACCCCCTGCAGGATGAGGTTGTCTACACGGCTAAAGCACAATCAGCTGGACTTCAGGGATTTCCTCTATTTCTATTACAGGTTTTATACAAACCTTGAGCAGCTGTTACTGTGTGGAATAGTGGAATAGGAATTTGAATGTTACAGATGAGAGTTTTCCTGGCACAACATTTGGGATAACATAAATTTGGCTTCCAAAAATCCTGATCATCAAATGATACACTTGATCTTGTGTGTATGCTCTGTATGCCCTGTGCAGGATGCACTACAGGAACATTTCTCCATCTGTTCTAGCTGTGGCCAGACGTGACTAGGTTTTGAAAACGGATCTACATTTTCGGAAGGTTCAGTGTCCACTGTCCTCAATATTCAAGTTCCCTGCTGCAGTCCTGTGGTGACAAAGGTGGGTCTCACCAGAACTAGAAATATTTTGGCATTGTTGTTGGACTATCTATATCCCCTCTATGGATACCATGGATCCTGGCATGCCTCGTTATCATCCATCCAGTATCAACTTTATCCAGTACAGGGTCCCAGGGGAGCCAGAGCCAATCCTGGCAAGCAACAGGTCCAAGGACGGACACCCTGGACGGGATGCCAGTCCTTTGCAGGGCACACTCACACCAGAGCAATTTTTCCCAGAAGCCAATTAACCTAGATGTATGCATTTGCACATGGAGGAAATGTCACGACTGCACATAATCAGACACAAGCCCATAAAGGCCAACCCATTCCAACGAGCACAGATTCCCACAAATGCCAATGCACAGACGAATTATCCAAACCACGTCCCCCGTCCTGCACCACACCCTCCTACTACCTACTACTTTAGGACTGCTCACCTGCACCTCAACGCTCAGTACTGTGCCACCTTGCCACCCACCTTGTTATCATTAATGTAGAAGTGGCAATGGCCAGGATCCAAGGTGGAGGCCTGGAGTGACTCTGCTGCAGAGCTGCTCCTTCTTTTTGTAAGAAGGAGGGGCATTATATCAATGCTGGGGGGGTGTGTGTTGTGGGGGAAAATATTTTTGTTCAAATAAATATTTAGATTTATAGCGAAGCCATGTTAAAGAGAGAACTGACAGCCACATTGAACATCTTGATGTTGGTTGAGAATCCCAGTATCGTTCTGCACCTTTGGTGTAAAGGAGAGATCCAGCAGCTCCTGACGAAGTTAGAAATTCTTCACTACTGACAGTAAAAAGCAGAGAATCTTCTACCAGTTGAGAAAAGTGTCAGAGAAGCCACTCAGCGTTTCTGTGGATCTCTGTTGCTGGGATTGTGCACTCTGTGGCATGTGTGTTCAGCTTTTTAGTGAGTGAGTCATATCCTATGAGATCAAGATTCTTCCCAGGGATGAGACCTGTTCTTTTCTCCTTGTTGTGCTTATGATGAGAACTGACACAATCAATTATGGGCTCTCTGTTTCCAAACATTTCAGACACACAAAGCATTCACAGAATAGCTTTCAAAAGACACACCTGTGATCTAGGGATAATTGATATTGTGCAAGCAATTTTGTTTCTATGCGGTACATATATGTTTGAAGTCTAATTCATTCTGCATAATTCACAGTATAAACCTACTGCTTACTGCTAATGCACATAAGCAGACTGTCACTTCAGTGCAACGCAGAATACGGCCAGGCTATTATGTGAATGAGTAACAAAAATACAGTTTAGCACTTCTGACAGTAGTTAAAAGAAACTTCCTTAACCTTAAGGTCTCGAAAGAGCATATATTATCATATTTATATATATATTATCTATTATATTATTAGCACAGTACATGCTTTAATGTAGGACCTTGCACAATAAATCAACAGAAGTTGAAAATCTAATGTTATCCGTATTAAAAACGTATGTTCCAAGGCTGTGCATTGTTTCAAATAATAAACATTTATAAATCTGACAAAAAACAGAGCTACTCTATAGTTTTTTAAAAGACGTCTACACTAGCAGTGGTAAGCTACAGAAAGTTGTACATATTCTTTAATTAATCTAAGAGCACTGCATTTTTACACAGACATATGATACAAGGATCCAACTCAACCCATTGAAAAGACAATCGGCTCTAGGACCCTGTCACCACTGAGAAAGACACCACAGATTTCAATTTAATTTAATAGTGATGTAATGATGTAAAAATATCCGTATTTTCAGTCACCGTTGCCTGTATAAATGTTGCGATATACTACAGTATATATAACATCACAATCCCTCCCATAGTCAAGTAACTCACTTCTAGTTATATACTGGTAATAATTCCAGTGCTTATTTTTCCCTGGAAGTAAACAGAAATCCCAAAACCTGACAGTAGGATTAGGAGAAAGCAGATATGGTTTCAGATATTCTATGGTATGACCATACTCATTGGTTGAGAAAAGGGCTTTCTTCTATGATCATTGACTTCATCTAACTACATATCTCCAATCTAGATTCAGAAAATGTACTTTGATCTGCTTTGCAGTGCAAAACTTTTCTCAAGCTTTACCATATAATTATCTTTAACTGAAAAAAATCATTAAATTTGGAGATACCCAATTAGTTTTCTGGTAGCTCAGCCAAAAAGTAATTACGAGGAGATAAGATGATGAATATTGATGGGATAGCATTCTTAATATCCAAGAGTTAAATCACCTGGCTGAGGAAATAACAGCCCTGTCCGTAGGGTCAGATCTGCCATCCACCTCCACAAAAAAAAATAATTAAAAGGAATCTCAAAACCCTGATGCAGATTTCTTCAATGATAGAAATATTGGAGAATGAGCTTTTTGTGACGAAGTCACAGTCAAATGCAAGGTTTCAGACAAATACTGGAGAGAGTACACTGGATTAGAGTGAATGAGAACTGCAAAACTGGCAGGCAATGGAATGAAAGTCAAAGAACTGGGTAGCAGCACAGGTAACAGACCCTAGCATGGTAAAGAGAAAGAACCTGGGAAACGGAAGTAACACTTTGGTTACCCAGAAGGAGTAGGCTGAGGCCCACTGCACTGACGCAGAAGCAGAATAGGAAGTGGCAGTGAGATACCACTTAATGAAGTTGTTCCGGCTGAGGATGGATGAGGATAAATGAGGACAGATCTGATGGCCTGGAGGAAAAAGAGTCTGGTGCACTTGAGAGACTGTCTATAAAAATGTGCTGGGGGTGGTGGTTTAGTTGAGGGCCAACGCTATGCCAGTTGGCCACCAGCCAAGGGGGGAGCAAAGGGGTCAGCCGTGAGTGGGACACGGGACCTGGGGCAGTGAAGGCTATGAATGATGTGGCCCAGGCCCAGGGCAGACGTGGGGTGAGGTGGGCATCAGAAACCAGGCGAGGTTCTTGGCACTCGGGGACAGCAAAAATGAGGATTGGGGAAGGGGTAGATAAAGGGGTAGAAAATGAAGATAGACCGGGGCTGTAGGTGTTGTGGTTCTGCCGCTCCATTCAAACAAAACGGGAGAGAAATGGGGGGAGAGAAGGAGAGAGTGAAACAAGCGGAGATTACGGAAAAGCACAGAGGGAGCAGCTGCTATTGTACTGGAGGTCCAGGGAGGGTTGATGACATCAGGAGAACTGGAAGTAAAACATTGCAAGTGCAGGGAGTCGATTTTTGTCTGTGAAGAGCTTGAGGTTGAAGAGCTGCTTGCTCAACAAGAGGCGAGGACACGACTCACAGCCTGGATCAGAGAAGGAGAACAGTGGTCACATCACCAAGCTAGAAGACGGTAAGCGGGAGAAGATGATGAGGCACAGGAGCAACAAAGATACAGTAAGCTCCAGCAACGTGACAGACATCCGCCTCTGACAAGACCTAGAAACGTACTAGAAAAGATGCAACTTTGAAATGACCTAGCAAAGTTGTGCACAGCAGACGAGTATTTTTACAGTATAGAGTGGCCGGGAGAGATTACAATTTGACCTCCTCAAGTATTTCTGTTTAAAACTCCTTCAAGTATATAACTAGGCAACTTAGAATCACCGAATGTTTTTAAGACTCCAGCACGCACCTGGGAGACAATGACACACTCAGATATGTGCCTTTGACAGGCACACCTGCAGAACTGTTCATAATTTTTTAAGTTGCGAGCTCCACAGTGTCTGATGGGAGCACTGAGCCTCTCACAGACCAAGTGTAGACACAATGGTCTTTTAAGGACAAGAAATCCAAATTAATCTCCACTGCATGATGGTATCTTACCAACTTAAAGAAAACAGGAGATGTTAACTCTTCCAGCAGTTGCTCAAGGCAGAGGTAATGATAAGCATTGACATGAAAATAATGAGGTAAAAAATAATGTGGAATAAACCAAGGTTTCACTTAACTTACTTGTTAGCATTCTTAGAAAAAGCAACAGCAGTAGTGGTTTCAAACGGAGCATTTGTTGTGATATATTTAAGTTTTCAGAAGGCTAGAAGAAAGCTTTGGAAAAAAAGGTTCCGTTCATTGACCTTGTTTTTTTAAAAAAAAAACGAACTCTGTGATTACCTCTCGGTCTGCAGGGTCACTTTGGAAGGCTCAACGTTAGGGTTCTCCCACTCCATCTGGGGGCAGTGCATGAAGTAGCAGAGCGTGTACAGGGCTTCGGGTTCCCAGTGCACGGGGGTCTGCTTCTGGTGCAAAGGGGTTCCATTGCTGTGGTTCTTTATGTGAAGAGGCTGAAGATGGTGCATGGCCCGTGACACCAGGTCACCTGCAAAAGACACAAATAATACTTCAAACTACAGCGGCAAATAAACAGCAGTACAAAAAACAACCACATGTGAGAAAATTAAGGGCGAAGTTAAGGAGGCAGCCCTTGGACTTTTGTTTATTGGCCAAGAGATTAAAAAAAGATGTCAAAAAGATTGTCTGGTAACAAAGCAGTGACAATGGAGAGGTATTCATTCCTTTCACTGAAACCATTGTGGCTCATGTGCACAGAGCTGCAGCTGAGGTTGCCCATTAAGTAGACAATGAAATGCACAGGAGGTTCAGGAAATCCAGGATTCATCTGGCTTGGGCACTGGGGCACGAATAGATAAACCAGAAAACTTGGGCTTGTGCTGCATGCTGATAGCAGCGGGTGTTGTGGTCGTTATTTTAAACTTTTTCTCCCAAATCAAAAAAAAAAAGGTGCTAGTCTCTTTCAATTACACAGGAACCCTCTCGAAAACCTGTACAGTGCAAACTTATTTACTGTACTTGTGCCATATGGAAACCTTACATATCACTGGAAAATTTTGGCAAACTTCCACCGGGCCACATTTGCCTTTCCTGAAATAGACGGAAGCAAATCAAATATTTCATTATTCTCTGCATCTGACTGTAAAGCAAAAATATTTACACTGACTACATATTGACTGCTTGCACATGAGTAGAATTAGAAGTGTTATATTTATTCTCAGTCCTTAGAATTAAGAACCCCATGGGTTCCATGAATGAAACAAAATACACAGGTGTGCACAGAATATTTTTGATTTTCATTTTTTGTCCACCTCATAGACTGATTTAACATTCTTTTCATGTAGAAAAAGCTCCAGGAAAAGAAAGCTTGGCTTTTGTCCACTACAACGAGCAGTCCTTTAACCCACCTGTCACAAGGTTTCATCTGGTCAACGGACAGGGAATGTCCTGTTCAACCTGACCATGCAGGCTGTAGCTAGACTATCCTGAAAGTGATCATATCAACAGAGCACAATTGCAAAGGCGAGAATTCTTAATATAGTATGTCAGATGCTGTTTGTTATTCTGGAGCGGAGAATAGATGCTGTTAGTTTTTTTTAACTGTCTGGAGAAGTACACCATTATTCACTAGAACACATCTATGTGTTTATTCTGAGAGAAATGCTGTTAATTTGAAGGAAAGCTGACCCAGCAAACTGTTTCCCTGACAATGAAGATTCTTCAAAATATTTGAATGTTCACAAAATGGCATGCCTTGTTTAAGAAATCTGCTGAAAAAAATGTGCTTTGCATTGCTTTACATTTTAATTATTTAAAATGTATCTATTCTGGATATGCAGCACTTCTGTGTCTGATGACCTGAGTTTGAATCTACCTGTAGTTGAAAATGAATCTGAATTCAGGTAATTCATACTGTATTTGGCATATGTTCAGAAAAGATGAGAGGAATTCTGCCTTGTGATATTATTTTTCAAAATGTATTGCAAAATTCTAATCAAGGCCATTTTAATCTTTTCCTAAAGAAACAAATGTATTACCCTTAAAATGTTAAAAAGGTAAGAGGAACACTCAATCTTTTAATAATGATTAAAATGCACCACTCTCGTTTGGTACTGTATGTTTATAAGGTCATGCTTGAGGGTCATGTTGCTTTTACACACTAAAGATGAAGAGATTTAATAGTTTTTATTTTTTCATTGCATCCTCATAACTACAGCCATTCCCCATTAAAAGTAACAGTTGATTGGCACTAAATCCTTGTTCTGTTATTGTGCACATCACTGTGTTGCCAGCTGATTAAAGAAAGATGAATATTTAGTAGTAGGGGTGTAATATTAACTGAACTTTCCAAATTCTCTGTCCCTGTATTGGAATAAAAGTGGAGAAAATGTACAAGGAGCTCTTATGTATATTTCCACATCCTGACCTACAGTATACTATTGAGGTTTGCCTTGCGACTAATCTTTAGATGTTTTCATTGGTCGGGAGCCAAGTCAATACACATCCACCTTTAGGAAATGTGAGAGGTCATGGGTAGGGTGTTTTTGTCTGATAGAGTATATACTGCATGTTTTCTGGTATGCATTCCATAGTAACCCTTACCCTTTGCGCAGTATGAAAGGAGTTACAAGACAGTTTTGCATCTGAAATTTAATATAGGTCAAGGGAAATGTGATTTTTTGACAGATCATTTATGGATTCTTATTAGTGGTCCATAGTAACCATGTCCCTATCTGCACTGTGTATGATGCTACTGTATATATGCAAGGTTTTCATATTAGTGTAAGTAAAATGTAAAGGTTATGCACAAGGTCATTTTTATACAAAACATACTGTATATGATTTCCTATTTGTGTCAAAGTGTAACCATTGCCATATACAGTATACAGTATTTCAGCAAAGGTCAGAGATCATAGGTAAGGTCAATTTTTTTTTACCAGAGCATATAAGGCAGGAGTTCCCTATTCTGGTCATGGAGAGTCCCACACCTGCTCATTTTCATTCCAGCTAAGAGTAATTACCTAATTGAAGCCTTAAAAAAGCTGCTTGATTGGTATGAAAGCTTATTAACACATTTGTTTGTGTTTAAACAAGATAATATTGTGTTTAAACACAAACCTTTTTGCATTTAAATTAGATAACTACATTAAAATGAGATACTGTTTGCACTTACATTACAAGATAACATTATGTTAAAACATGATAGTTTGTGAACAATACTGCCTACTATATTGATTAATGTCTTGCAATATATATGCAATAATATTGTCCCACTCAAACTAGCACTGGCTTTCTTAAAATGATTTACATAAATATCACCTATGAGCAGTTTTGAATTTATTTTAAACTCCACCCTGAAGCTGACAAACACAACAACCACTGCCCAGGAGTTCACTTTCGTATCTCTCCTTGACAATAGCTTCTGCGTGTTTCAGAATCTTTCCTTCACTCCAGTTTTGTCTCCCAGAATCACGTTTTTTTCTGTCTCTGAACTCTTGACCGTAAAGATGAAACAAAGACTCGGTGCACTGAGCGAGTTACGGAAGTGATGTCACAGACCTCTGACACCTGAACAGAGTAAAAAGCTCTGCTGGGTAAAGGATCCAGTCCTTTGAAGCTGCCAGCTATCTAGGGAGTGGAGCTGTGCACTGGGACTGAATCCCAGTAAGACCAGGGAAAGCTCCACTCCTCACACAAGCAAGCAGGACTAGGAATGTCAAATCAGGTCTTGCCTGATCTGCATTAACTGAAAGGCAGAGCACAGCTATTTGAGATAACTGTGGGCAGAATGTACCCATGTTTACTTCATTGAATTCTGCCAATGGTGTTTGTCCATCAGCATGTTGAGTAGCTTGTGGGGGCAAGACTTGATAAACACGTCAAATGATCTGTTACTGGAAATTCATTAGGAGAAGGGGAGGGTGTCAGGGGACTTACTGCATTTAAGAAAATCATCATCCCCTGGAAACTATGGTATGGAAATTTTGATTAAATGTTCATTCCGGTTTCTTTCCTTGTGATCGAATTTGCAAATTTACAGTACTAAATTATAGATTAATCAGACCTTTTACAGCAATTAGGACAGACAAATACAATTTAATGAGCAGAGCCCCTGAGAAACAGATCAGGTTGCAATGGCCTGGGTCTAAATTAATGTGACTGCCATCTTCACATTTGACTTATTCTGGACTGCGTCGTTACTGAGAGGATTACAAGAAACCTTGCCAACAGCAAAGCTGCAGCTAAAGACCTCAAATGTCATAATCTAATCAAAAAGACGAAGGAAAAGAACATTTTTTTCCATTCATATTTAGTCAACCTTTTTTCCCCTTAGGAGGAGAATGGGAGCTACAGCAAATAAACATTTGCCATCTGTTACAGCAAAAAATACAAGTTAACTGTTTTTCCTTTCTATTTTTAAAATTAACCATTTTTTCCCTCCTGTAATGCCTCAGTTTGTAAACTCTTTTCAATTACTCAAGCCCAACTAGCACTGCAACCCTGCAAGGACTTGAGCGAGATGAAGAGCACAAACTGTCCTTCAAGGGCTGTGTGTTTGTGATGAGTGCAGCCCTCCTTGTTTGTGATGGGATGTGATTTCAGTGACCTTGATTCGAAGGCTCCAACTACTCCCTAGACAGCAGATGACTACCACAGCAGAGTGTTACACTGTTTCAATTTCAGAGGGCGGTGACATCCAACTACATCCAATTAGCCAATCATAGAAGGGATTAACAACAATTAACAAAACAAAAGCAGGGTTCTGGTGCCAACCTGAGGTCAGCTACTGTATCCCATCTCATTAGTTCAGTTTATTTGTTCAGTTCAGTTTATTTATCACATATCATTTCACTGCACTTGAGCATTTCATCAACATGGGAGTTTCTAAGCTTTTTCTGCTATTCATAAAGTCTTACATCACTGGAGTATCTTAAGAATAAGAAATTGAATGTTCTTGAGTGGCCAAGTCATGAATCCCATTGACAATTTGTAGAATTTGTAAACTCAAAACTGCTGTCCGTAAGCAATCCCCAAGCAACTCGAAAGAGCTTTAGCAAGAAGAGTGGGCAAACATTTCACCAGGTGGTCATGCAAAGCTGATAGAGACTTTTACAAAAAGACTTGTGCCTGTAATTGCAGCCACCAAATATTGAGTCCACATGGATGAGTACATATAAAATCGATATATATCACTTTTTTTTACTGGTAATTATTTAACCCTTAGAAATCTTCAATCTGAGCAAGCAGGTTTCGGATAAAATGTGAAGTTTTAAAAAGATAGGCATGCAAGATTTTGTAATTTCACAGAATGGAATACCATAAGGAGGGTCTGAATATGTGGTATATGGAATGTGTTATGTGAAAGTAACCAAATCAAAATCAAATTCTGAAAAGTAAGGAACATAGTAACAGTATGTGTGCCATTTACTATCATCCATCTGTCCTCTATGTGAAGTCATTTAGTTTCGGTAAAGGCCATGACAATCATGCATATCCCTTAAGTGGAAGGAGCAAGGCAGGCCTTCA